GGGGGGGAGGTGGTGATCTTGGGAATCTTTGAGGGATTTTCAAGTTCCCAGGGGATGTTTAGCATGTTCAGTACAAGTTCAAGGTAGAAAAGTTAGAAGGATAAATGGTTGTGGTCTCAGAAGGACCTTTCAGCATCTGTGCTCTTGAGGCCTTACTCTGAAGATGCTGCTGCCCGGGGGGGGTTCTGCTTGTGGGTGACCGATGGCGTGTCTTTTGAAGGTTTGAAGTGGAGGAAGTTGAAGAACCATGAGGTCCAGTTAGAGCAGACGGGTGGAAAATATGGAGGAGAAGGGAGAGAGGGTAGCTTGATCACATACGATACACTCTACGTTTAAATATGTTCCATATAATTAAATATTCAGTGTGCACATTGTGTGCGATGGTGATCGGAAGGTGTGGATAGATAGATAGGAACCTTTTGCATGATCCTGAAAGTTCTCAGACATTCTTGTAACTGAAAAAAGACTGGAAAGGCTGGTGAGGGTAAAGACCTGGCGGGGATTATCATATCTGTAAATTACTTTAGGAGATTTGAAAACGAGATCAGGGCAGTAATTAGATAATTAGATTACTCCTCACAATCAGTTCTTGGTATGTTGAGTTGCTTATCCAAGCATTAAAAACAAAAAAGTCCTTACCAAAAACTTTCACATTAACCACATTACTTTCCTAAGATTTGGCTTTTTCCTAGAATGTAGATATACTGGGGGTGGGGGGTTGGGGGGGGGAGTTTGCTTCTGTAGAGAAACATATCAGAAACACAAGCAAATAATTACAGTAGATTTTGGAGTGAGATTTGCTGGAGGCCGGGATGAGGTACTTTGGCCTCACGGAGCAGCAGACAGGCTGGAGAACACTGCTGACAAGTGAGACTGGGTAGCACAGTGCTTATGCTTGGCAATGCCTCTGCCACCCACACAAAACCGGACACCCGTGCAATCCCTTGGTTATGTCTGACTCGGTGAAGAAAGAAATAATTAACATGGTTACATACTGTGTTCATTTATTGTTATCTTTTTATACTAAAAAGAAAGTTGAGACAGCATCTCAATGGCCAGATGCCCTGCACACTTTATAGTCTTATTAACATTGTGGTTGACAAGCTTTTCAGGCTTTCAGATTTGATTCTTCTGGGAAATGCAGTTTACATTCATTCTGCTACATTTTTCATTGCTGACTGCAGCACTGGGTTGTGGTTCTGCCGAAGGGAAATTCCTGCCTGTCTACGGTGTCTTTAGTGGCTGCTTGTTGGCTCAGGGATTGTGGCCGTTGCTCCTCGAAAACGAATGATATGTGTTCTGGGGATAAAGCACCAAAGGAAGAGAAGGAGGGTGACATTTCCTAGGTCCCAATTCTGGGTCAGACGCAGTGCCTGAGCTTTTCATAATGTAATTTAAATAATTTCAAGAATACTATGAGGTTGATACCATTCTCGTTTTATAGAAAAGGGGGGAAGTGGGGTAGAGGACCTTAAAGATGCAGTTAAAATTCAAACCCAAAACTGACACAGGAACCCATTGGCTCAAAGCCAGTCTTTCTCTGAACAAGAAAACAAGTGATTAGGGAAGAAAGAAACCAGAGAAATCTTATTTCTAATGAGTGCATTTCATTATTAAGCCCTCCTAGAAAACAATGCACTTTAAAAAATCCTTGTCTACCTTATACTAGATACCAGTTAGAAATGTGGTGGTGACGACAACCACCAGCCCCGGAATGTTGACAGCCCAGAGACTGTCCTACATATTGCGCCACCTGACCTCCAAAGGCTTCACCTGTGGAGTGCCCAGGGACTTCCAACACCCGGTCAGGATCTGATAATCAGACTGAAGGCAGACGAGAGACAGGCTGCCTGGGGGGCCTAGCTGCTCTCGGCATCCTAGCTCTGCAGACCATCCGCGTATCTTGGAAGCACTGACAAGGACATCAACTGTCAGAGCGCGGCTCTGTCGTCAAGAAGCTAGAGCAATGCTTTTAACTACAAGTTGTGATGCAGGAGTATGTCCTCAAATCATTTTTGTGGGTTTTAATAGTATTTTAAAATATAATGGAATTAAATACAATAGGATAGAATAAAAACAGAATACGTCATAATGCATCACATATAATTAGCTTAAGTATTATTTTGTGAAACTTTTGTTTCTTATATGCATGAATAACTGTATAGAACTAAATTATTGATTCACAAGGTGTAGGGAAGGAACTTCCCACAAGCAAAAAATATCCCTTCAGTGATTTGTTTCATTGATTGCGGTTGTAACTAGATAATAATTTCCCAGTTTGTAAACACTAGCTGCTGAGAATTTCCTGTCAGAAAAAAAAAGTTGCAGTAATGCCACTTTAAATTCTTCACTCTCCGAAAGCTTGCAAAACAGAGAGCTACAGTCAATTGCTGTACAACCTGTTCTTTCCCAGCAGGGATGCTGGCCTCCGATGGTCTTGCTGATAAGAACGATGGCTTCACAATGTTTTAGCAGAGTTCACCGAAAATAAAGATTGGCATAAAGCAAAATTTGCTTTGGCCTTTTGGCCAATTGAGTCACACTTACTAATTATATCCAACTAAGGATATTTTTTGTGGCAGTAGTCCAAATGGAAATAAAGAAAAAAGTAAAACCATCATACCTTTTATCCCACTTTCTAGTGTGTTAACTTCTCAGAAAGCCAATTGAAGTACTTTAATTTCAATTTTAACACTTTCTGCTTATGTTCACCAAGACACCTTTGCTAATTGTCTGATTCAACCTATCGGATTGTCTATGACAGTACAAAGAATAGCAATAATAATAACATAATTATAATTATTAATAATCACTAACATTTATTAAAAACATAACCTTTATATATAAAACAGGGCTGAGATTGTGTGTGTATAAAAATCTTCTTACAGTAACCAAAGTAACCAAATAAAGATATTAGAGATAGTCAAAATACACCCATTTCAAAGATTAGGAAAACAACGCACCTGTGTCATGCTAAGAAATTTGGGCCTGACACTAGAAGTGAAAGAGAAGCCTTGAACGTTTGTACATAGATGAATGAAATCATTGTATTTGTATTTCAGCAAGATAATTTTTGTGACATTGAAGATAAAATATGAGAGGGAAACTCATAGCTGGGACAAAATTTCTTTGCGAAATGATTATCTACTCTCTCTGCAATGTATCTCGGCCCCACCCCTCACATATATTCCACCTACAGAGAATGATCTACTCTTCCTTAAACATGCAATAATTATTGACACTTTAGTGTGTTTGCACTTGTTTCTCTTTTTGCAGATCTGTCTTTCCCTTGACCACCGGTAAATTCCAACTCTTCTTCCAAGATCAAGCTCACCTGTTGGCCCCTGTATGAAGCAATTTCTTCCATGTGATATGTAAGTAGTAGGATATGGTAGAAAGATCAGGGGGTTGGAATCAGCCTGATTTTCTTTGCCTTTCACATGTATGACCTCGAGCAAATTCCTTAAGGTTTTAGAGACTGCTTCTTCAGTTGTAAAATGGGAAAATATTACCTATTTGAAGAGTTACTGGGAGGATTCGAAATTATATTTGGCATGTAATAGGTACTTATGAGAGGATATGGTTTATTATTCTACTTTTCTAAAGTCACCCAGACAGGGTGAATCATTCTCCCCTCCCCTCCCTTCTCCTCTCTTCTCCTGCCCTCTTCTCTCTCTTGCTCTTCCCCTCTTTCTCTAAAAATCAATAAAAACATATCCTTGGGTGAAGATTAAACTAAATTTTTCTATTAGACTTTTAAATAACAAAAATTATACTCATGTATGTATTTTCTATTCCAAATGTCTTCATTCTTTGTACAGATTAAAGTTGCTATCTGGTATCATTTTTCTTCTGCCTGGAAGACTTTTTTTTTTTT